AAAAAAAAAAAAAAAAAAAAAAAAAAAAAAAAAAAAAACAATAAAAGGATGTAAAAAAAATTGTTTCAGGTTATTGAGCTAGTGACCCAAATCTTTCATTGGACGAATACTTAACATGATACGCTGCGAATGAAACATTATAACTATATGGTGGCGGTTGTTTGGCCTCTCAATGCCTAAACTCTGTTAATGATGCCAACTGATCATTTCATAAATGGTTAAAGCGAATCCAAAAATAAAAGTGCACTGTCCATAATTTATTAATTATGATAGTATTCAACTCATTCCCACAAAAAACCTCCAAGTTATGATGTAGGTATTGTCTTTGTCATCCACATTTTTAGTTTTCTCTGACGGTTTGCCTCCAGATATCCATGTTATTTGCAGACCAAACATTTGTTTATCCATTTAGCAGATCATTTGCTACACTATTTAGATATGCCGTAGAGCTATGTTAAATGGACATGGGCAAGTATATTATATGGGTGGGAATGATTTCTCACAGAACACTTAGGATTAAAGGCACAGAAAGGAGTACAGGTGTGCTTGATAAGGCAATCAAATGTACAATAATTAATTGAAAAGATATTGAACCAAAATAAGTATATCCAAGTTCTATAAACACCTAGTATTTTATTCCATAAGCATATCTCATACAAAAGAAAAATATTCTAATACTTATGCAATTATGTATGTATATATAGAGTATGTAAGTTTGTTTGTATGCACACAACTGAAACCAAAAACCCAAGCAACATATGCTGCTTAGTTCCTGGGGACTCAACACACCCTACGTGAATTGATCAAATCTGGTATATATCAACAGCCACATCCAGAAGGATCCATATCACTATACTACCCTAAACCAAGGTTGCATCAGACTCGAACACACTTTTTCAGCTTGTTCCACAGACTCAATCTGAGACTCGAACACACTTTTCAAACTTGTCTGGACAAATCAGTTGAAACTGATGGTAATTTTATATATGAAAAACTTTTCAAAGTGAACAAAGATGCTTAGAACTTAACAAATCATCCATATATAATTTAAGATTATTTCATGAAGTTAATGTGGTAAAATTGCTCATCTCAATTCCGGATAAATTGTTCCAAATTTTGAGCTTAGCATAATCTCCCTTTGTTCTTTCATAGGTGATTTCGAATAAGTTCAAAGTTAGATATTACACACTTTTACAAGGCATTGGTAATAAGTCAATCTAATTGCTAACAGATATAACATGATAACAAAAAGTGAGCTATGAATACCTGGAGACGATGATGAGTCTTCTTCATTATTAGGTGGTTCGGTCTGTGGAGGCGAAGGTGGACCAGCACTGGTAGCCCGGCAGCGAGCGGATGACGTATTAGGATAAGAATACGAGTAGGTTATTGAGCTTTGTAGATTTAGCATAAAAGAAGAGAACCGAAGGATAGAGGAGGAGGAGGAGGTGGTAGTGGTGGAGGGCGAAAACCGGCGCGGCGGCGTTACGGAATACGCGGCGGAGGTGGAAAATTTTAGCGGTGAACGGTGAATGTTACGGAGAGAGAGCCACGATTTCATTTTAGTGATTTTGTTACAGGAATTTGGAAAAGGAAAAATCATTTGCAATCAAAAGTAGGCTATCGGACTAATTTATGACACGTCTTCTTAATTTTTTCCCGACTGTGACTAATTTTCCTTTTTCATTTATTTCTTTTTGTTGTTTCTCTTTTTATCTATGTTTGTTTTTTTATTAAAAATTTTTTTGTTACATATCTAGATTTTGGAAATTCTCGAAACTTCTTGAATTTGACATCATTTATTAGGTGCATATTTGAATTAGTATTATTTTTAGTTCTTAATTACTCAAAAAACGCTTGGTAGTTTGATAGATTTAATCGCCCGTATACATTAGTTTATTTGTATATATTTCTTTTTGATGAAAATAAAAATAAAAATATATATATATATATATTTGACCAAAAGAAAAAAGAAAAGAAAATACATATAGTAATTGTACATCTCTCTTTTCGGTACAAAGACTGTTTTAGTTGATAATTTCTAATTATTATTTTTAGCCAAATCTAATACGTAAAACACTTGACTAGCTTTATTATTTTTCAATTTTCATGTTGAAGTTGTATTTAAATATATTTAAATATGAATATTTTAAAAAAAAAAATCTTACAAAAGATATAATCAAACAATATTTAAATATGAAAATTATTTCGCCTCGGATGATGACCCAAAAATCTTAATATGAATTTGGAGGGGCAATTCAATAACAGACTTTGTTTCTAACTATTATTTCTAGTCAGACTTAAATATTGGAGTGAAGTGTTAACAATATACTTAAACTATTTTATTTTTGTACGTATCGGTATTGGCACGTCAAATATACCTTCCTTAATATATAGAGTATATATATATATTTAGCATCCAGTACAAAATGAGCGTTTAATTAAAATTTCTCCTATAAAGATATTAGTACTAATAAAATTATTCCTTAATTAAATTAGAGAGTGGAGGATATATCAAGGTTGAAAGAGGTGATCTCTACATGTGCATTTCCAAGAAAGAAGATAATAGTTATCATCAGCTTTTCTTTTAGATGCATCTCTATTCTTCTGAGTCACTAGACTTGCCTTGCATGGCTCACAATTCATGCACTTGTTTACACACCCTGGTGGCCTTGAACCTATCATCTGCCTACCTATATTCACTGTACAACACACAAGTTCAAATATAATACTTATCATTAACAACAGGTAGAAAATAAAGTTGTTTCTAATAGACTCTGAATTCGAGGAAAACAAAAGCATAAGAGGTAACAAGTAGTAATAGAGAAATACGTTAATAATAATAATAAAAAAAAATACTATACTTCTAATAGGAATACTATACTTCACTGTACAACACACAAGACGTGAAACTATTTATTAATATGATTGAATAGTTGAATACTATGGATTAAATTAAATGGTAAATCTTCATCATCTCTTATGAATTTAAATTTTTTCCCTATACATATAATAGAAACAAGAAACAAGTTTTACCATAGAGAAGAAGAAAAATTAAACAAAGTAGTTCACCTGATAGGGAAGGATGAAATGCTAGAGATAGTAAAAGAGCCAATGTAAGTCCAAGTGAGCAGTTCCAGCTTGATAGAGCCATGATAGGTATAATGAGCTTTATATTGTCTCTCAATGATATATAGTAGAAAAAAAATGAAGTTTGTTTCTATCTACTGTAGCTTAATATTGCAATAGAAGGGATAATGAAAGGGTGATATTTATGGTGAGACAAGATGGAGAACTGTTTACATAAGAAGGGACAATACTCTGATGCTCAAAAGCTTATGCACCAATCACTTGACATTTCACTTTGAAATTATACTCCTTATTTTCAGCATCTTTCTTGGAAATGGTAGATGACTATTTGAGCATCCTCTTACACTCAAACTAACTGCTCCACCACTATCTCACTACTAGTACCTCTTTCATTTCCTCTTTTTATCCTGTTATTTTTTCTTGGGAAAAGGGTTTGATATACCCTTCAATTTTGTTATTTGGTGTTGATATGTCTCTCGTTATGAAAGTGGCTCATATATATTCTTACCGTTATACAAACGGCTCACATATATCCCACCGTTACAAAATGAGCTCATATATATCCTTCATTTAACGGAAGTGAAAAAATTAGTTTTAAATTTATATTTTTGACTTTTAATTTTCTTAAAAATTATTTAGGGGTATATATGATTCTTCTAGAAAAGTTCAAGATATATTTTAATCTTTTTCATTACATAAATTATTTTTTGACTTCTTTTATTATAATTATTTGAGTTTCTTATTCTTATTTTATTTTTTTCTTTCATTCCTTAGTGTAAAGAAAAAAATTTAAAACTATTTTTTGTGGCTATATTATAATTTAAAACTATTTTTTTTGTCTATATTGTAATTTAATTTTTGTATTTGAAGAAAAAATTTGGTCATCTATAATAAGTTTTACAAGAATATTAGTGAAACATAAATAAATTTGACCATCAAAATATAAATCTAAATTAGACATTGAAACAAAAAAAAAAGTCAAAAAAAAAATATATGTTTGAGGAGGGGTATATCAACTCTAAATGACAAAGTTGAGGGATATATTAGACCCTTTTTCCCTTTTTCTTTCAATGTTGCTTTGATGTGTGTTTTATTTAATCGAAATTCTATCAAAAATAGTCTATTTATCCTACAAAGACAGAGACAAAATTTGCATATATCATACCCTTTTCAGACATTGAATATGTTGGTGGTGGTGGTTAAAACCTAATTAATTATATTTTGATTTTCTAAAATACTTTTTCCGTTTTCATTTTTACTTGTCCAGTATCGGTTTGATATTCTTAAGTTGCAATAAATAAAATAATAATTCTATAATATTATGAATATAATAATTTAATATTTTGAGAAATGTATTTGAAAATAATTATAGTTAATAATAAAAGTAATTTTAGGAACTAATTGATAAAATTTGTCTTGATTTTCAAACTTGACAAATAAAAATGGATATCTATTTTTAATATAGTAAACAAACAAAAGTGCACGGAGAGGGGTTGAAGAATGAAAAAAGTCCCAAATCAACAATTAATGAGACAGATAGTGTCCTTATAAGACTTGAGCAATCCTTCTCCATTGGAGCTAACTTTTGGAATTGAGTTAAGCTCATATTTCATATTTCATATTTTTACGTTTAGCACTATATTGGACAATCCTCCTCTTTTTGAACTCAATGCCATATATTTAAAGGGAGTAGTATGATGCGTTCTATCAGACCTCGTAACTTTATCCCTTGTCGATTCAATGGGTAGATTTTACAACTTCCTAGATTTACAACCAATCTTTGACTATAGACTGTTTAATTAATTAGTTAATTAATCCTTGAACTCATGGACCTATCCTATTGTGCTCAGATACTAGTAATAAATATAGTAAAATTAACTTCATAGTTGACTTCCATTTCTTGTCCATTTACCTCCTAATCCGAAATGAAGAAGTATAAATGTGAAAAGCTGGCAAGGTTTGATGACCTTTACTTTTAATAGGCGTTCGCCATAGAATCTCAAATTCCAATTTAAAGTTTTGATCTTAAATTAGTGCTACGCATAAGTTCACATACTCTGCTCGATGTAAAGAAATTATTCATATCATATGTGAAGATTATATAAGAATAGCTAGTTACTAAATTTATATTATCATGTTGTCGTAAGTTTTATTTATAAAAAAAATGAAGATATATGATTTATTTATTTAACTTCTTTGAGATATTCTGATACCTTATTAAAAACTCAAGCTACATGTTCAAATAAAATTATAACTTCAAATCAACCTAATTTTAAATCACTAATTATTCGAAATCATGTCCAGCTGTGCCCTTAGTATCGTTATTAAATACTCCCTCCGTCCCTTTTTAGTTGTCCACTTTAGAAATGGCACACAGATTAAGGCAACAATGATTAGCACAGTGAAGTTATAATTTTACCCTTATGACAACTTTTTCACTTTAAAAATTACAACCACTTATTTGAATTCAAGTGAAATAAATTGGAGGGAAACAACATACACTTTTACAATTTTCAAGAAGTGTAAATAAGGGTATAATAGGAAAAAATTTAGTTGTCCTTTCTTGATTTGTCAAAATTGGACAACTAAATAGGGACAACCAAAAAGGAAATATGGACAAGTAAATAGGGACGGAGGGAGTAGCAACTATTTCACATACAAGACTATACAAGCAGGCTTAAAGGACAATTATTAACTGTATTAGCTTTTTCTGGAAAAGGTCGTGTCATTTCACACCATGAAAGATTCTAAAGGACATATATCTGTTGATTTTGTTGTACAGACAAGTTTTCACTCAGAAAAACTCAAATATCAAATAGTATGTATAAACATATTCAAACACAATCTCAACTTGCAAATATTTTCTTTAAAATATCAATTAATTCTTGTCTAAACACGCCTTTATCAGTACAAAATGTTTCAATTTGCCAGAAGTTAATTACATTTCATTAGAGAAACTCCATTAGTAACCTCCTACCTTCCCAGTCACGAAGCAAATCAAATTTACATCAGCCTATCTAAGTGTCTGTCACTACTTGACTGTTCATCATTCATCGATAAAATAATCCTTTACTTACAAACATGTCAATCGTACAGTCCTTCCAGCTCCCAAAAATCCATTAGGAAATCTACCATTTCCTGCCAGTTTTACATGAGCATTCTTAGTGTCATTCAAACAGAAATATGAGGAGCATTGACTTCTTTAAACTCTATCATGCATACTTACAGCAAGCGGGATAGACATGGGAAACAGCTTGTTGCTCCCAAACAAACTATCATACGTAGCATTCCAACTGCAAAGACAAAATTCCTTAGAGGAAGTAAAGACAAAGGATCCATTAACAATCTTAGGCACATAACAGAACATCTAAAAAAGCTCGGTTCTCAAAATCTGTTTCGGTGGGAGCAAATGACACCAGGATTTAGAACAATCGGCAAATTCCCACTTATGGGATAAGGTAAGATATGTCTAATTAATGCGAATCTCAGCGGCAATTTTCTTTCAAACAAATGTCTGTTAGGGACGGACAGTGGAAATGGACAGCTATTATATTGGTGTAGAAATTTGTGGCCATTAACAGCACAAGGCTCCTGATTAAGTTACAGACCAGAAGGCTCTCCCCCACTTCAATATCAGCTATTTCTCCCCCTTTGGATTCTTCATCCAATTATATACATGTCATCTCTCCCTACACTTCACCCATAGAGCATTTAGTTCTAGCCATGCAAACAGTAAGAACACAGAGATTAATGAAAGGCTCATTCACACTTTTTTTTTACCCCTCCTCAGGAGCTCCCCTGTTTTGCTCCCTTGGTGGCTCAAACCCACAACCTTAGGGTTGGAGGTGGAAGGTGCTTACAACTCGAGCTATCCCCCCCCCCCCCCCCCCCCCCCCCCCCCC